TGATTCTGCATGACATTCGATTGCATGAAAATTTTAGAAAACATGTGAATGACAGGCGTGCTTGGAGAATTTCATTACATAAACAGTTAGAAATTTTAGCAAGTATACACCAGTTGGCAATTAACCTTTGCGGCCATGTGTCCGTAATCTTTGAACATGTTTCACGTCTTCGAGTAGTTGTGGATAAATTCCGACAACTAACATCGCTTTAAGGCAGAATTAAAGTGAAATAATGTTCGATATTGTCTTTCACACCAATGGGACAATAATTTGCCTAAGATGAATATCTGTATTGGAAACCCCGTCTGGCTTATTTTACACAACCTTAACACAGCTCTGACCAAGAACAAGTGACTGGCGTGTCTAGGATATGGGTATATTTGAACACAAACACTAACAGTAATAACAAGAGGTTGAAAAATATATAACTTCTAATGCCTTTTAGACTATTTACTAGTCTGACTACGTAAACAACCAATCGCTACGTTTCTTGCCTACACATTACCTCCCTGGCGATTTGTTTGTATGACTTTGCTCATTCATGCACGTGAAAAAACCTTACTTTTTCCGTTGTTTTGATGTTGTCCATGTCTGTAATTGATAAATTAGGGTTATATTACTCGAGTTTTTCGACCTTCTTTAGTCAGTGTTTGTGATGTTGCAAATTAACTTGCTGAATTCCAAACAGTATTTTTAATAATAATCTTTACATTAAAATGCAATCATCACCACATCCGCCTAGTGCTGATATCCATAGGTTTTAGGAAATATTTAATCATGTTACATGTTAAAGATGAACTGCAGTTATGAAGCTGATGCAAGCTGCTTCTGGTTCTTGCGAACATTGAAATATAAAGCTACTAGCAGCGGCAGTTATTTTCAATATTTCTGAATCTACAGCATCTGCTTTCCTGTTTGAGTTACTCTGTAAATCATAAGCTTTCTTTTACCTCTTAAATATTTGTCTTGTTCTTTTTTCTTCCAAATTGCTGTAACTTAAACATGGATCTAAAATTCTATCTTTCTATCGTATCGCCATAAGTTGGATATATTTAAATTTCTCTTTATTCTCTGTGAGTTGTGGTCTTTTCATTGATATATTTTTCGCACAGCCTCGTCTCTATTCTCTGTACTCCAATCCACCCAGATCTAGTGGTTGTTCTGTGTAATCTTTCTTTTCAAGGTCTCTCCCTGCGTGCTAGGAACAGACTGAGAGAAAGATATATCAAACAAGTAACTCTTTAGTCAGGACTAACCTTCTGAGACCCATACTGATAAACACGAACGGTGATTACCTCCCATACACAACTGATGTGATTACGAGATTACTCTATCCTGACACTGCTGGGACTTGTTTTCATTGAATTAATTCAGGTGATACCTGTCTAATGGAGCGGAACTCGATTGTCTGAGGGAACCGCCAATCACTACATGTTCATCATGACGTCGGTTAACACAAACTGAATTCTGATTTTGATTTTGGTCCATCCAAGATATCTCATTTGCCACTATCACTATTAGCTTACATGAGGCTGAAACTGGGAAAAAATGTAATAATACGTTTTCGCTACTGTCCGCATTTACGAACTAATATCGACTAACATTTCATGTATGATAGAATATATAATAATATAGTGTATAACAGTGACAGCTGCATTCCACAGGAAAAACGATGAGGCGAAATAACCCTACCTACGTCATTTTGGTGAGGCAATACCTACGTATCTTGCAAATCAGAACCAGGATTCTTACCAAGAAAGAGGATAGGGTCAATACAGTCAAAGTACTACCAAGGAACAAAACATCTTCCTGAAGTCAGAAATACAAAACTTTTCATCAAGGATAGAAAGAAGCAGCAATTAGAATAGTATCGAGGGATTGTATACGACCACTGACAAAGCACTTACAGATAAACAATAAAATAAGAGATGGAACATTAATCGAAATACTACAGACGTCAAAGAGTCGGTCCCAAATTTATATCAGTAAAAACAATGGTGATAATAATATGAAATAACAAAATGAGAAGTGAAATACGTGCAGATATGTTGGAGTATAGTCTAGGTCGTTATTAGTACATTTTTCTTTGCTACTGAAATAATAGATTGATTTTTCATTATGCGACCACCTAATCTACAAGACCTCACGTGTGAATCACACCATTTTCTACACTGGAACGTCCTTTGGTGACAACCAACTATATGATGTTTTGTACTCTTGAAGAACAAATATGGGCTGAGAATAGAATGATATAGTTGACGTGAAAAGGAATGAGTTACACAGTGGCCAAAGCTACGTTATCGTGTCTCGCCCTCACCATTTTTGACCTATCATATGTGGTAAACGTCGAAAGTAAATCTTTTCAGTAGTTATATGTTCAAAAATGGACATCATGTGGTTTGGATCCAACACTACTATAAACACCGTTGGTAGCAGAGGAGTTGATACATTTAAGGGAAAAACAAGGTAATAATCAGTGACTCACAAGACGGGACTTCCCCTTACGTTGTGAAAGACACAGAGAACGGACTCCACACCAGGTTTCAAAGTTTTAAATTAACCTGGGATTAGCGACTTGTAATTCTCATTTTTGAGACAAACTTTGTAATGATGTATTTCTGTAGGCTTGTTATTAACTTCCACATTTTGTTACATGTTCATGTTTTTCAAGTGTAGCCATAAAACGTCTCGGAAGTGCCATTGTAAACTGTCAGTTTGTATGAATAAATATGTATTTCATTCGCTCGACTCAATATCTGTTCAAGTTGTTGACCACAAAAGAAACTGAAAATTTGCAGAAAATGCCTCTTCTGTCATTTGTAAATTAAGAAGATTGACCAGTCTCACGAAAATAAATCAAATAGGCATGTATTTACTCAGTTTTTCATGTCGTAAACAGCTTTGAACCATGTATCAATTGTTTTCCGACTGCTATTTGATCATTGTAATATGGCGTACATGAAGCAGTGCAACCTTTACATCCTATATTTTGTAGCACCAATTATGTTCTTATGTGTCGATACCTTTTTGTTTGTTTCTGCGAAGAATGTATGTCGTACCGCGGCGAAGCAAATGAACAGCATGCAGTATGTCGTGAAATACTTGTAAAGTTTGATTTCGTCTTTAAACTTCCATGGAAGGATTGCCCAGGACAGGGTTGGATGGAGTATGCTGATGGGTGGCTTAGGCTACTCCACGAGGGGTAACAGATGTAAGTAAGGTAAGTAAGTAAACTTCGATCCATCATGTAACTTACTGCTTTCTGAGGTTAAACTGTTCTATTATAACCATGCTAACTCAATTTCTCCTTGAATGTTTAATAGTCTTGATTCTCCAGATTCAGTATTTTCCAACTGTTTTTCATAACAAGGGCCTTATTTAAATAAAACGTAGCAGAAGCAAACTAATAAGGACTTGTATTATGAGGTTCCTTCTGGATTCTTGTATCGGGTTTCCAATGAATACCGCAATCCTATTCTAAGGTTCTGTGTAGCAGCAAATTAAAGATTGTTATAAAACAACAATCCCAATTGCTTCAAACGGATTAAAGTACAATGAAACTAAAACATTGAACAAAACCAAATGTTTTCCCAAATCAGACACAACTCAAAAATGTACAAACAATTTACAAATAAAAAGAACTTGATAAATCTAATTGAAGAACTGTTCAATACCTCTAGAGCGTCTAGATATCGAGATGGTTGAAACATGAATTTCTCTCAAATTAACGAACACAAACAATGTCAGGGTCAAGTGGTTTTCCCTGCCACTTAGGAATCCTCTGATTATATTCGCGAACCTAACAATATTGTTTTCCACAAAAACAATTGAAACGAGTTCACTAAATCTCAGGTGACTGGGAGATGGCTGCAATGAAACAGTGAAAACAAAATATCATGACAGAACTTATCAATGAACCAAGTAAGGGACTCAAGTGAAGCGATAACGCCGAAATCATTAAAAAAGGGAGTATACGTTACAATAATAGCTCTGATGTGTGGTTGATATACAGACTCAACAAAGACATTACTTCATGATCACTACTGCGACTTGCCCTGGTGAGACTATATCTCGTTAGCCTGCTAGTCATGAACCCGATCATGTTTAATGTACGAAATTAAGCTTGAAAGAGTCATTTTTAGTGTCCATTGTATCACCCCCAAGCCTTTCTACTCAGTCTGCAGCACAGCCTATCAAATAATTTTTTTAACTTGGTAACACCATGGTGCTATTCATATTGAATAATAATTGAATTCTTAAAAATAGACGTCACATATTTGCTCAGCAAGAGTGAGATGGCTGGCAATGAGTCTCGTTAAATTGAAACCAGTTATTGCAACGAAATCCGTTACAAAGGTGCAAAACACAGAAGTCAAGAACACGACTTCCAACAAACTTTATTGTAGCTTGCTCACAGAGACCCATGATTTAACAGACGTCACTCAGGTGGCACAAGAATTCAGTTCTTTACCAACTGGAAAGCTATCAGCCTCTTAAACTAAATGTTCAATAAATGACTTCGATAAGTGAATGGGTTAGAAAAGTATTCAGTCGTGCCATGTGATTTTGCAGAAATTAAGGATGTACGAACTGTGGAGCATGTAGATCAATTCGATTCATTTGTTCATGCAGAAACATTTAAATACTTGCACCTGTTATTCGCTGAACCTTCTGATATTCCAATCAAAGTAGATGACTATATTTTTACTACGGAAGCACATCTCTTACCATTAAGTTTATCTCGTCAACGTTACTCAATTAAGAATGTATTCCATGATGCGATTCATGATGTTTCCTCGGTATTGATGAAGGCATCACAATATGATGATAATAGTTCAATCCTACTACAACCATCATCGACTTCAAAAGTTGAATAACCAATGCCAGATCGTCATGGTGAGCGAGATATTAAGTTTTGAAAATTATTACACAATGCAGCTCAATGTATTGCTATAGGGTATGAGCATCGAAATCCCATGGAGTGTATTTTAGATACTTCTATGGCCAAGCACGATATTACTACTGGTAATGAAAATATTGATAACAATTATCTTGTTAGTAATAATATTGGTTCAACATGTGATATATCAGCGACGTCTGGTTTCTTTTACGGTCATTATATGAGAAAATTACTGAAATGTAATGATTCTGATAGGATTTTGTTGAAATCATGTATCTGGAATATTATTGACGTTATTTGACAACCAGTACGTCAAATAGCTATAAATATTGTCCGTTTAATAAACGATTTCACAGTCGGTGTTCATCATCATAAAACTAAGAAAACACCGTTACCTTTAAGAGAAGTTAACTTTCAACCTGACAATGCACTTGAATATTACACTTGAATATACTTAAAAGTATGGGTATATCAATGCCATTTAATCAAGATGGTAGATTGACTCTGATACATCAGAATGCTGCTGATAGTATTGACTCAGCGACTGCAGGAGTTATTTTCGTGAAGGAATTGATCAATTTGGCAAATTAGAAACAAAGTTTCGCTGATCTTTTTGTACAGAATCGTTTTGTCCTTGTAATTGATCCGCCAAGTTATGATTTTGCTAAATTTTCTGCCTGTCCTGCACATTTTGGTTTATTCCCTGGAGAAGAATTAATGCAAGGAAAAGGTGAACAACAACAGAAGGAGCATGGACCAAGGATTCGAACACATTTGAAAGTCAAGCAAAAGAACGACAGTCATAATTTTCATCGTCGTCATTGGAAACATATTGTGGGTCCTGTTCGCGTTGTCTATCCAATAGATGTATGCCAACCTATTATGCAGGTTATATAAATGTACCTGGGCTCATTGCACAATGATAATATGGCTGAAGTACAGGGAAAGCTTCCATGTAAAGCTGGATCAGTGTATTTTAATTTAGTTATATCATGTCTTGTTCGTACCACATAAGGTACTTATTAGGGGTTATTTTAAATGTATGAAGTAAGAGTATGAGAAGCTTAGCAGATGTACATCGAAGCATATTAGTTCTGCATTGGTATTGGTCATAACCACACGATCCTCAAAGCGGGACTTAAATAACTGGGAAAATAGATGTTCGCCACTTAACATGAAGAGAAGGCCAAAAATGGTGAATGCAGGAATATCCAATCAGTCGGATGGTATGGCTCAGCCTTGCAGACGTGGTCATTCTGCATAACCTGAATTTATTCACTTAAAATATATTATTCTATCTTCGGCTTACATGTGTTCTTTAGTAATACTAATTCTGATATTTCTAATTGTCACGATACGATATGTCAGTGCAGTTATTGATGTGACTTCCACGTAAGATCTTATAGTTTGGGTAGTCGCATCACGACAAATCTACAATCCTCATAGCAGGTCTACTATTAGATTAGCACTAATAACTAACATAGACCATAATTCTATAGTTCTACATTCTTACCATCTAAACAGAAATCGGGTACATATATGAACCTGTGAGGATTTCGTAATGTCGCCCTACCTTTATTTGAAAAAAACACTATTTGGCCCATACGTTTATACTTGAACAAACGGTTGTTAAAACCATTGTATCGGTAAATAAATCCCCCAAAATAAATAGTCATGTGGCTCTTCAACAATCGATACCGACCGCGCTAGTTATACTGGACTCACCTAACTGAAGACACTAGGCCACGCATGCGCACCATATCATGTTTCAGTACACCATGTCACATACCTCCTACAAACCCTAGCTAGCTTAGATTAATCACTTTTTGATGTGTCTATATTCTTTAAAATGCATCTTCGAACCTCATCACTTCTGATTTGACTGGGTTGGCACATTTCGAATATAAAAGGTTGAAGATGCCAAAGGTATTGGAGTTTGACAACGTTTCAACCAGTAAAACATTCTATTATGAACCGTACCCACCGAGTGAAATCAAAAGTCAGACGTCAGGAGGTTAGAAGATATATTTGATAGGTTATCAATATATCGGGGGTTGACTGGTCTAGAATGGCTAGCGATTACAGTGTATGTCGAGCTCGGGGTTTCCACTCGTGATCTGGTGTGGATGCATGACCGAGAGCCTTCAGCTAGGTGAATCCATTAAAACTAATGTGTGCAGCACCCAATGTCGAAGACTTACAGAGTTATCTGTTTTGGGAATTTGTTTAACTCTACAAAGTGTTACTGGTTATGTTGTCAAACTTTGAATACTTGTGGCATCTTTATCATCTTAAAGAGAGATGGTAGCAAACACTCTGGCAGTTATTGATCTGCCTACGGTAAACATATTTATTTCTGCAGTAATGAAATTTAAGATTTAAACGTCTCGAAAATGATGGGATTCGTGCTTCAAATGCTACAATTATGCAACAACTATAATTATCATAGGTCAGTAATGAGTAGAATTATTCTTGTAGATAAACACAAGGCTTACCGGATCGGTGACTTGCATTATAACTACCTGCTAACTTAGTACGGAACCAGAAAACAATAATTTCTACATATTTGAATAGGAAATGTTTTTCGTTTAATTTCGCGCTCAGACTTTGGTCTCATTCAAAACATCATTGGGAAGTCACTTATTGTTCGGATTGTTTTCGAAGTCAAAGAGTGTTCCATCAGAAAGAAACCTTAGTACTACATTTTTTTAAAAGTATGGGATATTGAAAAACCTGATAACTTGTTCACAGTCTGAACGCCTGTTTGACCTTGGGACTACTTCCTTTTAGTCAGCACCTGTTATAAATAAGCATGCAAATTGCCACCCATCTTCGGTCTATTTGTGAGTTTTTTTAGTTCTAGATATTAGAAATCAATATATACTTATCTTACTGTGATGTGTGTTTGCGATGGTCACTTGACAATGCCGTGACTGTTAGAAAAACTTAATGAAAGTGTACCAATGGGACTTAAATCTACGATCCTGCTTAGTAAGGGATGAAAATGCGTTAGTTAAGTAAAGTAGCAAACACCATTAAGTGAATAATTTCCATTACTTGATGTAATTCGGTAATTGAATAGTCATCTCTTATTAGATTCATACTTTTGTAAGAAGATTAGAATACGTACGACCCATGAGATGGTGGAGAAGATTTGTAGCTCAGGTGGGTGATTTTGATGTTGGTTTGTTCTCTAAGCTGGATGATTTGGTCGTGGAGCTTTCATCATCAGCACTGCTGATGATGTCGTTCAGAAGGACGATGAAAGCTCCACGACCAAATCATCCAGCTCAGAGAACAAACGAACATCAAAAACGTACGACCATATCTTTACTTTTATAGTAAGCTCCTATGAGCGTCTAGTCTTTTCTTGCAACAGTCGATTGAAGGTGAGAACACCACTACTTTGAGTAACAAGTTCCAAGAATTGATGACGATGTGAAAACCTGTATGCCACGGATAATTTGTTCGTTATTGACTTTTCCACTCCCCTGCTATGTCTTGTGAGATGTCTTGATCTGGTAGGTAAAAAAGAGGATATATTGCGTCAAAAATCAGTTCCTAGTGTTCTTTACGTCATAATCAATCCACCTTTTAATTTGCGGTAGTGTATAGTAAAGTAGTCTCAAGTCGCTCTTTGTATTGTAAACCCGAGTTCATGAATTGCACCGGCAGTTGTTTTCTCCAGGATATCGGAGTCGCATTTTAAACAGGTGCTTGCAACCCCAACGTAGTCTTCAAGTTTGAATCCCACTAAGGTTGTGTATACGGCAGAGAACATTATGGTGTCTAACTTGATGTCTGTCTTAAAGCCCTTAGAGTTCTAGATCCCTCAGCTGCGACCTTGCCGCAGTGGGTCGTGGTCTTAAAATAATGGCTTACTTCCACCCTGGGATCCGTGTGAGACTGGACTACGGGTACTGCTTCTTCCTCTATGTTGTGCCTACTTACCTCTTTATCCCCAGAGTGCATGTAGACACCTGCTTGAGTTTGGGCATCAGGATAGTATTTGTTCCTTCAGGATACTGGAACCCATGTGCACCATTGGTTCGTAATCAGGGTTTTCCAATTCCCCTAGGTGAACTTTCCGTGTCCAGGACCCGGGTAGAGCGCCAGACATTCGCTTTTCATCCTCTCAATTTCGTAAACAACAGTAGTGTCACGAGAAGGCAGTGAGTAGGACTTCCCTGGCAGCAGTTGTATGCACAAGGTCATTTGAGAGCATTTGGAACGGGGGCATAAGTTATAATACCAGTGACTTAATGTAAGATTTCTGGTTTGAAGAGATTTCCTGTACTAATTCCTTGTGTAGCTTAATCCCCACCAAGGTCAAGTGATTGAAAAGGTCCTTAGCATTTAGCTTGACTTGGTCTTCTGCATACTAGTCATGATCACATGTTTTGTCAATGGAAACCTAGAAAGTGACGAAGCTTTTTTTATGTCAGTGAACTATGTCGATTTTATAGCGTTTTCAAAGCTGATAATGATTGTCTTTAAGGTACTCCATTTTTTCAAGTAATCCGAAATATTTCGACAGTATCGTATGAATTCGCTCTTAGTTGTGATTGTTATGTTTGATTAAAATCGTCATCCTAATGCGTAAACTTGTAAGTTGCTAGTATCCCGTCACCAGTCTCTGACGTATTGTCTACATGTAACAACCTGCTTCAGTCTTGACACCTGGGCAGTATCACAGCCCTCACACAAATCGAATGAGATTTGTGAGGCACACATTTATCTGGTGCCCCTTTGTACCAATATTTATGTGTTTAAATAAATAAATAGACTGCATGTAACAACCATTATGCGGACGATCCTAATCTTGGTCCGTATTTTAGTAGTGTCGTGTGATATGAGGGCAGTTGTTTTTACCCGGTTGCTCATACCATGAAAGGATACTTCTTTTGAGACTTATCACAGACACTTTTGTACTCGAGAGTATGTCGCCATAGACCAAAGCAACTGCTCTAGGCCGATCACACATGCTTTTTGTATTCCTTAGCGTTTTAGCTTCATACTTTTAGGACTTCATCAGGATAGATGGTGAAGCTAAAAATTATGTTAAAAGCCTTCATTTGTATAGTTGGTTGGTATATGCTACGCTTAACTGGCCGTCAATTATCCCAGTGATTTACCCATGCTACTGCAGGCCCAAACAAAAACAAACATAATTGTTATCTAATCAATATGTAGTGTCATTCTACTAAGTTAAAGTCTTTTAGTTTGGCCCGTGTCGGGTCTGGTGACACAATGACACCTAAATATAATCCTGATTAAAGTATGAATCCCATTTGTCGAGACAATCTTTTAGCCTTTTGTAGCGGTAATTATGAGCAAGTTGATGTCAGTGGTTACTAGTAGAAGTGTTTTTCCTTATACATAAAGTACATACTTGCTGAAAATAAACGTGGTTAAAAATAAGGTGTAACAAACGGTTACCTTTATTTGTCCACATGATCAGATGTCAAATTTTTCGTCTGAATGTCTTACAGTCTCCTAATTTGTTTGATTCGGTGCTAAAAGCATTCACTACTCTGTTTCCAAAGGTCAAATTTTGAGTAGCAGACAGCTTTCGATAAAGCTCATCTTCAGTTTTATTAGAGCTGCGGCCGGCAATTGCCGATAGAAATTATGTTCATAAGTTCGATGTCCACTTCTGAACTTATTAATAGAAATAATTTACTACTCTGGAAAGTCGAAGTTTTCGTCTGCATTATCATCTATTAGCATGCACTGCTCGGATTAGAATCATTTTCATTGAGTTTGATTAAACTATATTATGCACGGTAAACTGCACATAAATATTAGTGTACCTCATATGGATTAGCGTTTTTCTATCTGACCTAGCCCTGTGTTCATAGTTGAATAACTATTGTTCTGATATTGTGTGCAGTGGTTAGATTCGAGTCCCAGATAATTTTGTTTCCTTTCAAGTAAGCGAATGTAATAAAAAGTAAATAAAGTTTGTCTAGTAGTGTGGTAAAAAAGTTGAGTCGTATGAGACTCTAGTCTAGTGACCTCATGTTTCACTTGTGTATTGATAAGTATACGTAAACTGTTTTTTTTTGCAATTTTTAGGCACACCATCGTTTAACAAGGTCGCAAGCTCACTGATATGTCCACTACAGGTAATTACGTTTTTTTTACTTTTAAGACTTCAGAATATTCGCTTTTACGCTGTTCCTGGAGTCAAAACTGCTTATGTTCGTGATAAGCCTCATATGAACATCGGTACAATAGGACACGTTGATCATGGAAAGACTACCCTCACCGCAGCTATCACAAAAAGTAAGAAGCAATCTAAATTCATAAATTCTTCTAGTACTTTCTGGAAAGAATAACTCTGTCTATCGGAGCTATGAAGAGATTGATGCTGCTCCAGAAGAACGAAAACGCGGCATAACCATTAATGCAGCAGTGGTTGATTACTCAACATCTAATCGGCATTACGCACACACAGATTGTCCTGGTCATGCCGACTATATAAAAAATATGATAACTGGTGCTAATCAGATGGAATGCGCTATTCTCGTCGTAGCAGCAACTGATGGCACTATGCCACAGACTAGAGAGCATTTATTATTGGCTAAACAGATAGGAATAGAAAGATTAGTTGTTTTTATCAATAAAGCTGATGCGGCAGACCCAGAGATGCTAGAACTGGTTGAACTTGAAATCAGAGATACATTAAAACATTATGGGTTTGATGGAGATAATACACCAATTATAAGTGGTTCTGCCCTTTGTGCACTGGAAGTAAGTTCTAAAATTAATGACATAATTATGTAGAATCGCGAACCTAAACTGGGTATTGAAAAAATTGAAGAATTGCTTGATGCGATTGATTCAGTTCCTTTGCCGAAACGCGAAAAAGATAAACCTTTCCTACTTCCTATCGAACATGTATTTACCATTACTGGTCGAGGTACTGTTGTTACAGGTCGGATAGAACGTGGAATTCTTAAGCTTCAGTCACCAATTGAAATAATCGGATATAGTCAGACTTTAAAATCCACTGTCACAGGTAAGTCATAACTAGTCTTTCAGTGCTATCTACCCACATAATTCAGATTACTAAGCTTACCACTAAATATTATCATGTAGTGTTGTCTAAGAAGATCAAGTAAATGTAAGAATGACCTCTATACTGAGTTTTTATGATAGAATATTTATTATAAACGAACTACTATTCACCAAATGTGGGTTTCAGTAACATTTATGAATTTTGATTTGACAAATAAAGGATGACCTGAGGAATGTTGAAGTAAATGAATAGAATCTCGGTGATATGGTGTGACGAATTGATAACTATTCATAATACCAAAGTGTGGATCCAAATCTCTTCGATAAGCTGATATCAGAAAATGAAATGGGGATCAATAGAATAGGGTCTTCTCCAGAACAAAACAATACGCTTCTATGCAAAATACTTGATGTAAAATTAACTATGATTAAAATTCATACGCAGTTAAAGAGCACGGATTTTGGCGGTCATTCACACTTCACTTGATTTGTGTGTGGGCTTTGATACTGTCATGGTGTTCAAATCAAAGCAGGTGATTTTCTTAGTGGGCCACACCCGTAGCCTTTGACCTAAAGGTCTAATCCACAAGGCAGTGGACACAACTTTAGGAGATGCAGTCGCATGGTAACCGGTGACCAACGATAGGTTCATACTCGACTTATTTCCTCAGGATCCTGGAGCCTATGTGCACTGTTGGTTTGTAATCAGGGTTTTTCAACTCACCTAGGTGAACTCTCCGTGCTCAACAGGGTTGTCAGTAAATTTTTAAATTAATCGAGACTTGCATACATAGCGCTCCCAAATGCCCTGGTACGGCCGAGAGTGGGGAGAGTCACCTCTCCCTCTCGAAATGCTCTCATATGGCCAGCGAATATATAGACTCTGCCAGGGAAGTCCTACTCACTGTCTTCTCGTGGCGGGGGTGTTGTTTACGAAAGTGAGAGGACGAAAAGCGAATGTCTGGCGCTTTAACCGGGTTGGTGGACACGGAGGGTCCACCTAGGGGAGTTGGAAAACCCTGATTCCAAACCAATGGTGCACATGGGCTCCAGTATCCTGATGGAACGAATGGCGGACGAACCTGTCATTGGTCACCGGCTACCATGGGACTGCATCTCCTCACGATGCTCCACTGCCTTGTGGATCAGACATTCAGGTCAAAGGCTCCGGGTGTGGCCCCCTAAAAAAACCACCTGCTTCAGTCTGGGCACCTGGGCAGTATCACAGCCTTCACATAAATCGAATGAGATTTGTGAGGCGCATATATATCTGGTGCTTCATTGTACCAATGTTTATGTGTTTAAATAAATAAATATAAATAAATGCATACATAGCCCATAGTGGGATTCCTAGATTGAAGCTATCTCGTAGACTTTAATGAAAACGTTTAAAGGATTCAGATAAACATGCAGTAACATAACTCTTTTATCAGTTAGCAAAATGTTTTGGTTTTTCAGTCCGCCAAAAATGTCCCACTTTTAAATAATAGAACTGCAAAGTTGCATCCGCTGTATACCCCTTGAGCTTGTTTTTTAAAAATTATTTCGTACCTTTTAATCCACAAATCGATTCTTCTAGAATTACGTTTCTTATGTCTAATCGTTGTAATTACCAATACTACTACCAATATTATGATACTCATTTTATTGGTATTATATCATGCTTGTTTGTAACTTCAACTAAGCCACATATGAATGAATAAATGGTCAGAAAAATTTAAAAGAGAAAACACCGCATAATAACTGAAATTGTCCAAATATGCATTTGAACTGAAATAACAATCATTGATCTGAGAAACGTATCTTGCCTTGTATTAAGAAAACAATTAAAACAACCAGGTGGGATCGCCGGTGGCTTTGTTCCGGGTCCACATTAAAGCAACCAGGGTTTTCTTCCTAACCGCTGACGATTAATTTTGAGGTTTGACCATCGGGGCCTTCTTCAACTGGTTGCATAGGATTGTCTTGTCGGATTTTCTGTTGTAAAAAGGTGTGCCCGATAGGCTAATCGACTTCTTGAAGACCCTACGTAGAAACACTCCAGACAGAGTGAGAGTACACATCCACCTCTTCATTGTTTCATTCAAGCAGTGAGGTTAGTCATGGTTGTCCAATCTCACCATTCTACTTCAACTTTGCCATCGGTGACGTTCTGGAATCAGCTCTAATGGATTTAGGTAATAGTGGTGTGGATCTGTTGCCTGGAGAAAGACTTCTACCGTGTGTATGCGGATGATGTTATCTTACTGTGCGATGATGTCCAAACCATGCAATCCATACTTAATCAGTTGACAATCAATTTTTGTAGGTATTGCATGTTCTTTGTACCTCCTGATTTCAAAGTACTTTTACAAGACTGACAGGATCTTCTGCTTACACTCACTCTTGATAGTGAGTAGTTACAGTTAGTCGAGAATTTCATGTATCTGGGTAGTCGTGTAAGTTCTGGTGGTTGCGTGGTTGATAATATCAATATGTGTATGATGGAAACCAGGGAGACTTACGTTTACCTAGACTATCTTTGGCGCCTTGATGATGTTAGTCTAACTGTGAAAGGTTGAATTTACAACACGTTGATGGGAGTAGTTTTGTTCTACGCTTGTGAGATCTGGCCTCTCCGAGTTGAGGATGTTAGACGAATCTCTGTGTTTGATCATTGTTGTCTGCGAAGGATTGCTGACATCCAGTGTCAACACCATGTTATCGATGCCGAGGTGCGACACCGTGTGTTCGGGCACAGTGCTGATAATTCAGTTGGTGTAACCGGCACGAATTATTAGCTTTATTATGTATTTTGAAATAATAAGAGCCGATTAAAATTCATTTCAAGCTAATAATAGTTTTTTTGTAACAAGATCTAGGTGTCGAAAATTGTTCATTGATGAGTGGGTGATTGTTCTTATGTTATTCTTCTTTCCGTTTAATGTTTATTAGCATCTTGTGCGACTGAACTGTTTGATTTTCTATCTTTTTCAAAAAGTGATGTATCAAGTAATGACAACTAAAAATTCCGCTGCATCGTATCACAGACTTACTACCACTCATCGTTTTTCACTAGGCTTCCACATGTCATCTTTTTAGTCAATGCACAAACTCTGGTACATCCGAGCACTAAAAAGTGTGCTTCAAACAGTAGTATGTTTATTTGAAATAAAATAATCATTCATACTTTGAGCAAATACTGTTATTCTGAAATTCATTTTGTAAACAGAGTTTCAGTTCTTATCCGTTTTATTTATGTTGTGGTACTGGTTTTGCCAATCTATTCGAAGCTCTAATATTTCGACCACTGAATGTGTTATTATCTCTCTTATTATGACCCAGCTACTTATAGCTTAGTATATTTCAGACACCTCACTCTACTAGTCTCCAAATCAGAACACAGATAAACGGGGATGTAATTATTTTCCGAATAAACAAGATTGAATGGGTATAAGGATCACATGAAAAAAAGTTTGTATGTTTCTAATTTTACAGAAGAAAATTCTAGAGTCTTCCCTAATTATTCTTTGATATGATTGGCAAAGAAAATACCGATCAGCGTGCGCCAACACGGTCCTGCACGGAATATGCTTTACTTCTGTCTATTTCGTTGACGGAAAGAGATATGAAGTTATCACAACAGTTCAGATCTCTTAACACGTTTTTTTCTTCTGAGTAATGCTGTAATTATAATCTTCAAGAAAAATTCGGACTGTGTGAATACGTAATGTTAAATCAACTGTCACGAACTCTCATTTGTTTCAGGGATTGAAATGTTTCACCAACTTTTGGATCAAGCAGAACCAGGTGACCAAGTTGGCATCTTAATGAGAGGAGTGAAACGAGATGAAGTAAGACGTGGTCAGTTTGTTGTGGAACCAAAGTCTATGTCAATACATGACTATGTTCAGTGTCAGGTTAGTTTTTTGGTGTTAGTATTTTATAACACTTTACTTGTAAGTACGTGTCCAAATAATGATTTTATTTTGCTAGCGTGGGTTGGTCTAATTCATACTTGTAACTTTTAAAATATTATTAATTTGCAGTAAAAATACGCTTAGGTTTGGATGGTGTGGCGCATATGTACCTGGTGCCCTTTTGTACCAATATATATGTGTTTAAATAAATAAGTAAGGTTTGGATGAAATTACTCAACAGTATACGACATTATTTAAACTAAGGATTCTTTGGATTGAGTTCAAGTTCATTTTCAAAGTGCAAATTGTCTACATTACACATTACTAAATGTCAATTAATAATGCACACTTTAAAGTAGTTTATGATTCGTGATTCTTAATGCGATGTTAATATTTTTTTAATATATACGAGAATAGCAGTTTCGCTCCATAGAATGTTCGTTGTGCAACCATTTTCAAATGATATGTGATCAATTAGTATACATAATCTCTGATAAAAGGTATTTTTAATACACTCTTCCTTTTTTGGAGTCGTAATTAAAAATATCCTTTTGTTTATTTGCCTTCAAAAATTTGTGAATCTTTTTGAATAGAAATTTTTAACGTTCACTTCTAAAATTTTCACACAATCCATTGAATTATCTAAACGAATAGTCTCCAATCTTTCAAATAGTATTTCCTATATACCTCTTTCAGAATGAATTAAGCCTTTTTTTTACCCATCTCTACATCACTTTGTGCTCGTTTAGACATTTGACATCAAGGAGTTCATAAATTCATTATCATATTCTGTTGTTAAATTAGTAAAATTACAAAAGTATTTAGCTTACTTTTACACAAAAAGGAAGTCACACATTTAATGTTGATGCAGTTCCACATTATTGATAAAAACTCTTGAAGTGGTATATTCAGTTATAAATTTCTTTCTGTTAAAACTAGTCCTCATTTATATATACGTATTTACATACAGGATGGTCATTTATTTTTGTGGGTATGAAGTCAATGTTTCCATGAACATGAAATGATGCAAAATATTTGTTTCACCTATCTACACTAATAGCTTTCTTTTAGGTAGTTTGAAAAGAATATGTCGCCATTTTCTCATTAAATTCAATATTTTACATATCCACTAGTCCACATCATGAATCTAAGGATTTAACGATACTTAGAGAGCAATCTTTTAAAATGGAATTTAACATCGTTAGTCTAATTGTACACAAACTTGTATGTTAATTTTATCATGTAAAGTCGTATCAGTCTACCTATATACTATGTTTGCATCTAGTAGGCGTGAAGCTCCCAAACGCCCTGGTATGGCCGAGAATGGGAAGGGTCCTCTCTCCCTCTCTAAATGCTCTCACATGGCTACGCGTATATAGCCTCTGTCAGGGAAGTCCTCCTCAGTGCCTTCTCATGGCACTACTATTGTTTACAAAATCGAGAGGACGATTATTTCTCTTATTTTACTACTTCGTTTTTCTTAGAATCTCAATATGTCTTTCAAATTTTGCAGGTTTATATGCTTTCGAAGAAAGAAGGTGGTCGTAGTAAACCATTTACGGACAATCATCAGTTCCATGTTTTCAGTAAATCATGGGATTGTCCTGCTATTCTAGTACTCCCTGAAGGAAGGGAGATGGTTATGCCAGGGGAAGATGCAGCTGTGAACCTACACCTCCATAGAAAAATGGTTAGTCTCATTATAGGAATTAAATGTCTGTTATCAAACTTTGTTGAAGTGAATTTTTTTGATACCTAATAACGTAACAAAAATCGCTTAATTTGCAAATTGGTACTGTAAATATTAAAAATCAAAGGCGATTAAAAAACAGTTTGCGTATTTTACCTTTCATAAATATCTAGAATATGTTCTGGTTAATCTTTGCAAAAACAAAACAGTCGGAAAAAATATTCTAACTGTCCTGGGGTTTTTGGTATTACTTACTTACGCTTGTTTGTCCTCATTGAAAAGTGTAGGCTGTCCATCAGGATTCTTCAACTTACTCTGTACTAGGTAATTCTTTCCGGTTGCCATTCATTCTTTTGATATCTGCTTTCAATTTCTGACACAATGTATTCCATGGCCTTCCTCTTTTCCTTTTGCCTTCAGGATTCCAAGTTAGGGCTTGCCTCGAATGCAGTTTGATTTCCTCAACGTATGTTCTATTCACTTCTAGCATCTTTTCCTAGTTTTTTCTTCAGCTGAAAGTTGGTTTATTCTCTCCCACACTAGGTTGTTGCTGATGGTATTCGGCCAACGGATGTTGAGTATCTTGTGTAGACAATTGTTTAGAAATACTTGTAATTTTTGGTTATGGTTATAGTTTTCTCCAAGTTTCAGCTCCATACTGTACAACTGTACATTCAATTGATTTTTCAATGATGATCTGCAGTGTCGTGACTTGATCTGTACACAACCGTTCCTTACGGAATACAGCCTGTTGATCTCGAAGTTGGGCATCTACTAAATCTTTCGTTTGGGCTGACAACACTCCGTCGAAAACTTTTCCTCACACTGATAGTTGTGTAATGCCTCTGTGGTTCTTACATTGGCTGAGATTTCTTTTCCCTAGTATTTGATGAGGTATCCTTCTTTCCAATCTGTTGGCACTTGTTCTTCCTCCAGTTGGAGACTCTGTGTGACATGGTTCAGAATGGATCAACATGGCGTAGGTGTATACACTCATTGTCTTCCCTTAAACCGTGAAATTAAAATTGCTTTATGCCTTTCTACAAACTAATTCTTCCTCTATTATATCCTTATACATAATCTTTCTTTTATGTATTACTACCATTGAAGTTACTTCTATGAGTTTGGTGTTTACTTTGTTGTGCTAATTAGGTATAGCAACTTGGACTAATGCATATGTGTGCCTAGTCATACGTCGTAGCTGACTGACTGACTGTTCTTCCTCCTAAGTTTTCACGAACAAAATATGGAGCATTTTTAAATTTACTTCTATGCCTGACCTCAGTGCATCAGTTGGTATGTTGTATTATCCTTCTGCTTTCCCACTCGTGATATAGTTGATGATCATTCTGATTTCTTCGACTGTTGGCGTGGTGACAGCTATCACACTGTACGCAGATAGTGCTTCGATGTTTGGTGGGTGCAGTCGAGCTGGTCTATTCAAGATTTCTTCAAAGTACTCTACTCACCTGTTCCACTGTCTTAAAATCTCAGTTATTGGCTTGTCTTCCTTGTTCCTGACTAGTATCTCTGTTCTACTACATTTCCCAGCTAGTTTCTTCGTTGTATCATATAGTTGTCTCATACTTCCTTCTCTTGTGGCTATTTCCACTGTGTTTGCTAGATCTTCCACCCACGTATTTCTGTTTGTCGTTCCTGATGCTCCTCCTCACACTTCTTTGCTTCTATGTGTTGGTAGTGTGCCTTGACTTTCTCTGCTCTTGTTCGACTGTTGTTGGTTGCCGTTTCTTTGTCCTTCCTGTTTTGAATTCAGCACAGCGTTTCGATAAAGTTCCATTCCTTATGAAGATGCTTTTTGTGACCCAGAACATGTTGACAAGTTAGAGTCAGCACTTCTTCAATCCCTTTCTGATCGTTCCCTATTGTAGTTTACTCTTTTTCCAGTAAATCTCGTTAGACTTGCGATCTGTTCTTGAATTCGTTGAGTCTTTTAGTGTTTCAAAAGAAATCCTTATTAAACTTTTACAATGTTGTTTCTCCGGTTGTCCAATGCTTCTTTAGCTTCAGTTTCATCTTGGCCACAACCATATAATATTCTGAAGTTATGTCAGCCTCTCTCTTGGTTCTCACGTCTTCCATTGATCTTATGAATTTTTTAGTGATGCAAATATGATCGATCTGGTTCTTTGTGTCAGGATCCGGTGAAATCCATGTAGCTTGGTGTATGGGTTTGTGGGGGACATAGTGTCACTTATAACCATTTTGTTGAATGCACATATCTGTAAATCTCTCACCATTCTCGTTCCTTTCCTTTAGTTCATGCCATCGCGTGATATTTTCACACAACATTATCCGTTCCGACTTTGTCGTTTAGGTCTCCCATTAGAATGGATACATTCATTGCGATCCCCTCCTTTGTTTTAAAGGAGGCTTTGATGGTTCTTAACCTATGATATTCTCATCCCATAAGTGTTTTTCGTTCTATTTTGAATGGCATCAGTGAAAATAATTGTGTATGCGAAACATTGTATTCCGTATGACCGACCAGGGTACAACAACATCTCTCCCGACTCTATCGTTTTTTGTCCAATGGATCTCACTTATTCCGAGCACCACCAAGTTGTATCTCCTCCTTTCCTCAGCTTTTTGACTGGTTCTCCCACATTGTTCGTACGTTGGATATACGTATATTAATTGTTGCCCTGGTTGCTAGAAAGGGTATTGACCTCTTGAATTCCGAAGCGTCTGGCCTTTCACCATAAGGCGTCAGTTTTCCTGCATGAAGATCCTTCAACTCGAAGGGCATAGGCTGAATGGTATAAATTGTTTTTGGTTAGAGTTTTCGGCAAGATTGATTTCTACAGGACGGTGTTGCTGATCACATACCCAACCCTTCTTTATCTGTTCTTGGGACTGTCAGTAACCCTAGATGGTCTACAGACGGAGTTTTTAGGTATAACGTTTGAATTAAAATATTTTATCCTTTTGCGGTATACTACGCTAATATTATAATACTAAAATAAAACTGATCTGGGCAACCAAGTTCATGACACTTCTAAATTGGATGCTCGAATGATCCTCTGTACACAGATTAAATCACGTTATCTCAGATACTTGGTTGTCTACAAAAAATAGGAAACCAGAGTAACACCAGACAATACTTTGTTCCTCACTGTCACAAACCGTCACTCAGTGAGTATGGAGTAGAGATCAATGAGAAGAAACTAAATCACATCTATTAGTAAGTAATCTGCGTGTCTGGTTATACAAACCGTCAAATCACATTTACTATTTCACATCAGTTTTAATAGATAAAATTAGTTACGTGCTTCTGTAGCTATTTACGCCATAAATCTTACTTGTTTTCCACAGTTTTATAAAACCATTTTTATTGTTGTAGGCTCTTGAGGTCGGACAGCGTTTTACCATTCGGGCTGATTCCTCTACTATTGGTTATGGTGTTGTTGGTAAAATCCTCCCTGGTCCAGGTCCATTCAACTGGTCTAAATAATGCCCGGTTATATTTGTAATTATTTTCAACTTTTGTGCTTCATCTATTACTGAATAAATTCTTAGTAAGAATATAGTGTCTTAATATTTTATCACACTGATAAACTTGTTTTGATCATCTTCAGAAGCGTTATTTTACTTAATGTACATTGGTGATCTTTATTTTCTCATACTCATTCTTCATCATATATCGGAAAGTTGGTCATGAAGTTTATTTTTCGAACTGTATAGTACATTTGCATGTAGCTTAAGATTTATTGCGATTCATTAATTATTGACCAAAGTTGCTGCACCAACAAGGATCAGTAACACTTTAAAATTTCAGTTCTTTGTCATCCCGAAATTGTAATAAATATACGTAGTAAGTGAATTCAGTATAAAGAGAACTGATATATCATTAGTTTTCCAAATTTCTTCCGCGAGTATTAAGGATGCTACTTATCTGTTGTGACCCAAATTATTGTGTATTGGTTAGTAAAAACATAGTTCACATGAAATCTGAGATAAACCGAAAGATAATAAATAATAACACCAAAGAACCGAACAAATCTCAGTGAAGCACACTGAAATTTGTATGTTGACACCTATAATGATGAAATATCCTAAGGAAAGATAAGTCATTATAGTCGTCAGCACATACTAGATGTATTTTAGACATTCAAACAGACTTCATGTTTTCAAATTACTGACCTGATATCTTTTTATACTAATCGGTAATCTGAAAACAAATTTCTAATTTTCATCAATTAGAAAATATGAATTACGTTCATAAATTCCTATTCCAAAGAGGTTGAAAAGAAGAAATAAATTATTCAATAGAGAGATGAAAAAACCTATTTGGTTTCTTCATTTTAATAAACTTCATTGTTTAATTGTAATTCTGATACCTAAATATTACGGAATATAGTAAAATAAAATAAATATAAAATAATTTTTCTGTCTTTAACATTTTTCAACCAATCCTAGTTATTGTAGACAGTTGACTTGAAAATATCTTTTATATTATAACTGATGTTTGAATTAACTTGTTTCAATACACTTTCGAATTTAATACCCACTATAAAAATTACAAAATGTCTAGTGTAGGGTTACCGACAACTACATACTTTGAAAAATTATTTTATACACTAAAATCTAAAGTGACAATTATTATTCATTGATATAACGAGCTAGAGTTGGGTTTAACAGTCAAGACCTAATTTATTAGCGTGTGAACAAACTACGAAACTGATATAATGCAATTATGTGTGATATTTGGTCATCTTTATTCTGTTAATAGTTTGCACAAAAATGTGTTATTTTATTATAAAGAAAAATTGTTATCGTTATTAGTCTTATCTTTGATCTGAAACCATCAAGGTGCTTACGTCAGTAGCTTGGCCTTGTAATCAGTTATCAACAACCCACATTGTATTATTGTATTTTATCCGCCACTCGACATTCCGTTTTAGTTTAGTAGTCGAACCATATAATCCAAACTCACTACAATTATTCAAAAATTTAATTAATATTTCAAAATTAGTTCAGTTTTAGTGAATAAAAGGTAATAAACACACACAAGATTAATGTTGCTGCTCTGTATTATCATATTACGTTGTGACTCAGTGGTTCAAGTCGAAGGAAAAAATTACGTACGGTTAGCGAAAAATACCTACTACTATTTTGATTTGTGTAAGAAACGTATCACGAATCCAGACACTTAAATGTGTGTCATGTTAAATGAAGCGTAAATGACGCAGTATTATCTATGTACTATAGGATATGCTGGTTTTGTATCGATGTAAACTTGAGTATGAATTACGCAGTCATCAGCCTAAAAAAGATTTCTCTACTCACTAGGATGACGATCTTAGCGCTTAGCCTACATGAAAAGTGATGGTTAGATGGTAGATAAACTTATCTATTCCTTTCTTTAACCTAACTGTGTTCGAACCAAACGATCCCTTCAAACTTTTCATGACAATAACTTGTTAACTGATGAATGTATAGGTCACTAACGTAGTTGGACTTTGTCGAATGATTGGGAGCCTATCGAGTTAGACAGGAATGGTTTGACCAACCAGCTAACGTCGAATTCACACTTCGTGTTCAGCACCTAACGTTTATTGTCCCTTCATCGTATGAAGGTACAATGTCTGCTTTCAAGACCGTATAACACAAAGGACGTTATTACAGAAGTACATTAAAGAGAGTAGGTACAAAGAAGAGATTTCAGCCACCACTGCATGGGTCAGTCCATGGCGTGCGTTAAATTGACGCGCTTCGATTGTATTTGAGCTTGTCGTGGACCACTGAACTGTTTGAGATTTAGTGACCCGACCGCCGAAAGTTGTGTCTAGGGCCCAGTGATATTCACTGGTCCTACAAATACATTTGAGAGGAAATCCTGGGGCCATGTTCAGAATCGCCCGCCGGCAGAGTTATATGGATTGACCTTATTAGGTACGAAGACTGCTAGGAGTGTGAATTTTATTGTGTGGTATAGTGATTACCTTGTATAGTTCGAATTTATCGATCGATTTATCAGTCAATCGTATAAACTGTTTGCTGAGTCTGTAGTTTAGTTCGTTATTGTATTGGTAGACAAACATCATCACATGTACTCATGGATTAAATTCTGTTGTCAATCAGCCGAATAGGTATAAAATAATTACTAGGATTAAGGTAGTGCCTTATTTCTATTCAAACCAGTGCATGGGTGTATGCTCGCCGTGTTCAAGGTTCGTGATATGAAGCTATCAATGTGATTCTGTACCTCATGGTTTCATGAATATTGACTGCGAAAGGATTCTGTACTAGTATCAAAAAGCCATTCAGTGACCTCTCGTTTCCAATCGGTACCTAAGGTAATTGGTGGTATAAACTATCTCCAAAGAATATAAATTAGGACGATCTCTAAAACTTTATAGTAGGTTCATCACTCATGTTTCACCAAGCTGAGAGAGCGTCATTCTACTCCGGCTACATTCATCACTTCCGAAACCCGTATAGAAAGTTGTATTTCTGTTCGCAGTAGCTACTCCTATGCCTAAATGTCTTCCTGTAGAACAAGATTCCATATCTGCTATATGTTTAAGCCATTCGATATCCAGACATTGAGAAGTTATGTATTTTGTCTAGTATTATGTTAAGCTCACATGAATTACTATAATTTCTAAGCTAGTCAATTAACCCATTCTTCTTGAGTCACTTGACAGCGTCCATTATTTGCCCATTTACCTTGATTTTTTCCAATATGGGCGTATGTGTGTGTGTCACTTACCCTATTCGGCCTATTTTAGCCCCTCTGTTAATATCGAGTCACGCTTATCAAACGAATTTAACATACCGGTCTTCTCAAATCTGGTTTTTCTCTTCGCTTTCATCCTGGATGTGTAACGGGATAAACAAGTACTTAAAATAAATTCGTACAACACAAATGGTGTTTGGGTTCTTATCATCGCCGACGCACGAACGGGATTAGCCTAGGTAATACACGGAGTTAAATAGAATACCTATGTTCGTAGCACATTCATACTTCTGTCGACCATCCAAATCAGAGTAATGTCAACGGGCCACTTACGTGGAGATAATCTTGCGGAATAGGTTTACCACTTATCGATTTTAAAAATTGAGTCGAATTAATATGGATCCCTGCCGCTTAGATCTAAATTTCACATTCCAAGAGGATATATTGACATAATTATTGCAGAAATATGATCTGAGGATTCTTATCACATGTTACCTCAGCTAAAACCAACAATTAAAGGAAAACAAGTCAAGTAATCTACTAGTTGATGTTTCCACTCAATACAAGATACCTGGAATCCCACTGTCAATGGTTTCATCTTGACATTACCGAGAAGTTTGACAGAATTTAATTCGGAGCGAATTCAGCTTCATCCTCCCATCTGGCTCAGTTGCAGTTTTAACAGGCAACAATGTGTATGTAAATGAAGTCGAAAGAGTCCTAGATGATTCATCAAAGTTCCTGTTTGGTAATTAGTTTGCTTCGGCAAGCTGTCGCTAACAGAAGTTTGTTACCGAACTTACTTATTCCAAAGGATATAGTTATAAATTTCTCACTATCCTGGTAAGTTCTGTTTTTCATAACTCAGTGACGTACTATATTATTTCATGTTCTCATTTATTCATCTTGCACTGCTAATCTATTAAGCTTTATGGCTGTTTATATATCTATTTCACGTCAGTTCTCATTATCTAGAAATGTGTCTCCATATGGCTTGAAATTTTTCTCTTAGAGTTTTCATATTTACATTCGGAAATTTAAACCCACGTTGTGTACGCAAGCAATTTGTTGTAACCTTCAATTTACACTGTTAATCCTTGAATCATTTTATGACTTAGGGTAATGCGAAAATTTCTCTTTCTTTTTATACATTGTCAAAAATTTTTCGCCTCTATTACTTTGTTTACTTGAACATTCATTGAATTGACTATTATTAATGTTTATATAAAATGCCCTGACGAGTATATGTGTGACCAGATTGTTCAAAATGTATAGTGCGAATACATCACATTTTTCAGATCAACTTCATCTTCTCATTGCTTTATCGAACTAACGATAATGCTTTCTTTTCCTTGAATATTCCATAAGAATTTCCAAATTATTAATCTTCATTTATATGATATAGTGTATATACGTTGTTTATAAATAATTACTACTACTGTTTCTAGGTTATGAGTAGTTGGAGTAAAACCTTAAAATAAATGAACTCATCTTCTTGTGCTAAGATAATTATTCTCCCTTTAGTGTAAATTCTGTTCAAATTAAATTCTCTAAAACGATACTCTTAAGTTACTTGAATTAGTAAATTAAAAATGAAAATAAAAGTTTATTATTTCCGCCAAATGTCCTGGTATGGCTGAGAGTGGAAAGAGTCATCTCTCTCTCGCTCGAAATGCTCTCACATGGCCACGTGCATACAACCACTACCATGGACGTCCTACTCATTGCCTTCTTGTTATGCCCCGATAAGGATAATGAATAGTAACTTTGGGATCTTTTTATAAACCAATATTATGAATATTTTTTATCGTGTAATTGCTAAATAACTAAACTTAAATTAATAAATGTCAAAATGGGAATTTTCACTTTATTAAACTATTCATATTCATGTTCACCTTATAATGGGCTTTATTTTGACTTACGAACTATGGATATACGACTTACCATTCTTGAATTATGCTCTGTCTATTAATTACTGTTCCCCTTACTCACAGCCACATTTGGTTTAATCTTGTACAAATGTTATTTTCTATTTTATGGTACGATGTGGTCTCTCTGTTTGGTATATAAAGCCAGTATGTTTGAAATACAAGGATTCATATTGCAGAGGCTGAGATTGGTGTTCTGGGCTTAACTGACTGGGCTAGGAATAAGCAGGACCAACAAGTACTCTAGACTGCTCATACGGTTTCGTGTGTCATTGGTTCGATCGAGGATTTACTGCTTTCTAATTGGAGGTCTTATCACTTTATAGATTAACTGGACATCCACTCGACCACAAGTTATAACACTTCTAGCGGAGGATATGTTAGTAACGAAATTGAGAGGACGTAAAGCGAACGTTCAGCGCTTTAACCCGGTTGGTGTATCCACCTAGGTGAGTTGGAAAACCCTGATTCCAAACCAACAGTGCACATAGGTTCCAGGATCCTAAGGAAACAAATAGAATATGAATCAATCGTTGGTCGCCGGTTACTATGAAACTGCATCTCCTAAAGTTGTGTCCACTGCCTTGTGGATTAGACTTGTAGGTCTAGCGCTTGGAGAGTGGCCTTCGAAGAAAACTATCTGCTTCGTTTTGGGCACCAGGACAGTATTCCGGCCCTCACACAAATCAAATGATTTATGTGGCTCATATCTGTTTCGTGCCTCCTTGCGCCAACGTTTATAAATAAAAATTGCCACGCATGTATGTTACTCTGAACGACAAAATGTAACTGTATTCGAAGCTAAGTATACACACAAAATTATCGGTTGATAGTTTTTTTGTGTGATTATATTATAGACATCAAAATCCAATCATAAATGATAGAGTCACTGTCATACACACTCGTTGTGTGTAACAGACCGGTTGTTGATACCAAATATGGTTTTCGTGCGTTCATTTTGCGAAGTTAACTTAGAAAAAAACTCGTGAATATATGCATAGTAAACTGAGGGTTCCTGTTATTAGGTCGGTATACTTTTCTGGACAACCAATTATCTTAGGGTTTTCCGAAGAACGTCAATGGGTGTAGAAGGTCCACACAATGCGAAAAAAATGTTGGGGTTTATTCACAGAACATAGATGGATTTTCCCAAAGTTGTCTAAAATTGTAAGTAAATTTTGGGGATATATTGGGTAAAACCCAAAACTTTGGGGAAACTCCTCAAACTGTCAAAAAATTGAAGGGTATTAACAATGTCTATAAATAAATTTCCTCAAAGTTTTCAAACACTTTGAGGAAATATTATGGAAAACCCAAAATGTCTTTGGGTTTTGGGGACAAAATTTTCTCCGAAATCAGGAGATTGGTTCGTCTTATATATAAAAATCATATTCTAGAAGCTGCGTTGGGAGTTGTGACATTTTTGTTTATACAACTTCAGGTGACGAAATGTTCGAAGGTTGTTCTAATTAATTTCTTGATATCCACAAAAGCTTGTTTTGCTAACGTATTGACTATTAAGCTTGCTATGATTTATATACATGGAACTTAAAGAAAAATGGGTATAATTTAACTACTGATTCTACAGTATAATCTACAGTAAGTCAATATTACACGAAACATTTTTGGCTGAATTTTCTGCGTTCAACTTCCAAAAGTGCAATTTTCCCGAAAACGAAATATCACAAGCGATGGATGTTGCGAGATAGGCTTTCTTTCACGACGCAAGATATGAAGTAAATTAGCGTAGATGGCGATCCAGAGAGAGGATAAGAATTATTAATTTTTAATTTATTACTTAATATCTGTACATATTTTGTTATCTTTTATAAATGGATTTTTATGAACTACTTTTTTCCGTATTATTTTTAAACTGTCTTCACTAGCACCGACCCAACTGCAAGTTTCTAATTCAGCAAACATTTTTACATTGCTTTTTGCACATGATGTACATTTCTCATAGCATTATAGGCTTTGGTGGCGTGTATTCCCAAATTCAATGATATTACCTAAGGCATTTGTTTGTCTACTATTAGCATGGAGGTGTTTGAGATTACTGTTATGACATAAAAAACTAACTGTTTCTTCTTTTTGTAGAACACTGTTAACGAAAGTTCGACCTTCAGGTGATAAATACAACATTTTTATCCTAAATGAAAAGAATATAAGGATATTAATTATCCCTGAAAAGTGTATATGTGCTTTTCCATATTTTGATATAGAATCACATTTATAAAACATCACTCTTTTAAACATGGATATATATAGCGTTTGTTATTAGAAGTGTTTGCAAGATAGCACTACGTCGATAACGTGAATCAAGTTTAATTGTGTGTTCACATTATATTAACTTCTAAGAATCATTTACTTAGTTCTGTGTACAACAATTATGCAAGCTTTGCCTTAATAACCGCTCCAAAGTAGAGTAGGTTATTGTGAGACTAAGTTTTTTTATATTCGATATCTTTACCCTGAATGACGTGGAATAAATAAATAAAGTAAGGACTAGTATACTAGTATTCCTGAATGTTTATACAATCATGTGCATTTAACATGTCCGTATTGAACATCATAGGTCCTCTAATATCAATGTTTGTTTCTAAATATAATGTTTCACTACACTGAAGGTTAGCCCTATCCTATATAAAGGAATTCTGGGGTATTATGGAAACGTCATCTCCTATGGGAAATTAAGTGCGTTAATACCATTGTAAGTATTGCCCTTGATTAGCAGACGTTTATCAGAATATTGTAAGACGATATCCATTAATTAGTAATCTGACCTCGATTTCGGGGATTAGAGCGAATGCACTGTTAACTTTGGGTAACATTAATGTGACTGTTTTCTCCGTGTAGCCTTAGTATTTATCATAAGTTTGTCACATATGGCATCGCACAAATCTATCGTAAGCACCTATAAACATTAGCTATACCAGACTACCTTCCTGTATTGCTGAGAACATGAAAAGCATTGATGATGGATTATTAAATATTTTATTAGAACATTATTAATGCAAAAAGTACATTCGTTACACGTCATCGTGAAATATGTTCATGAAATTCAGTTTCCCTGCATTACTAAGATAAACACACATATATTGGTAACAACAATTTTCTGTACAGGTATGTTGTCCTGGAGTTGGCAGCCGCACGGCATTTTTACTAGAATTGACCGCAAAAGAACGAAGTCTGTACTTTGTACGTGGACATTATGAGTAAATGTCATCTGCAATTATCAGAACTATGCTTTTCTTATACACTGGAAAACCTTCAAGGCGTTTTTGAATTCATCATTCGTTAAGAATCTCTAAGATAGGATTGTCTAGCTGGAAGTATCAGTTACCTCGATCGAAATACTCCCAAATAAATTTAACGCAGTATCACTACTGAATGAATAGAGGCAAAATTCTCGCAATTACAAAAGAATGAAAAAATAATCTGAATAGCAGATGAAAAAATACGATATACACGGTTATATGTCATTCGATGTTCCCTGAAATATAAAGATCTCCTTAAGGCATACATACTACTAAGTTAAGCTAGCTTATAGACACGCCACCGGCCTCAAATACTTAAAATATGAAATGACCGTCTAAAGACAAGCCACTTAAAATCGTTGAAATGGAAAAGCGGTAGTTTTAATCTTAAACTAGCTTCTATCTTATGCCGAATTTTCCTGCATTGATTAATATTCTGTTTTGTTTTCGGTTCACTCATTAGTTTTCAGATCTGCGCATCATACAGTTTCAAAATTTAGTGTTTTTTTTGTTGAAAATTATACCACTAGCATATATGCTGGTGATTTAATTATTACCTTTCTGTTTTTTTAATGGTTTACTGCATTCGATAAGGAGCAAATTTTGTTGTTGTTGAATTTACTGTTATATCTCTATGCAGCAAAATTTTGACTGTAGTTGTTAATTTTTCTGCATCTAACTGTTATATCCCGACAAAAAAAGTGAAAGGTAACTTTGGGATCCAATTATGGACCAATATTATGCATATAATTTTTATCATATATTTGCTAAATAATTAAACTATTCATATTCATGTTCCTTTCATTGTGAGCTTTATTTTGACCCTTGGACTATTATTGTACGATTTACCATTCCTGAGTTATACCCAGTACATTAATTACTGTTCGCCCTATTCACAGCCACATTTG